AATACTTTTCGGGATTGCTCGTGTAGGAGCTCATATATTGGAATGCAGTCAACCCTAGTAGGTCATCTGGTTCCGATGGAGACACAATCCCAGGTTGTCCTGTTGCAGGAAAGGCATTATCATCGTTGTCTCGATTGTAATTTTTGCTTATCAACACGTTCCAAGCTTTGTCAATAATGCTGGTGGCCACTGCCACAGTCTCGTGTTTGAAAAGCCATTAATATGAATGCTTTCAATAATAGGTTAAATATATTTTGCCCAGTAGGGCCAATCAGACAGTCCTGCCTACTTACATAGCATACACATATAGTATGGCCAACAACACCATCATATAATCTCAATTTTCTTAAACACTACATATGTTGGAATCAAGTATTGTTGTCCTGAGTGTTTGGCCAAAGTCTTCTTTGTCATAATATTTGGTCCAATTTATTGAAGCTAAGTGAATCTGTCCAATCCAAAGTCTTGTCAGAGTCTCCATTATCAAAATATTATACCATGGTATTGTAATCCCTTGTTGCACTCTCATACCATACCATACCATGGTATTGCACTCCCATAACATACCATACCATGGTTTTGCAATCCCATCCCATCCCAAGGAATGAAAAAACCCTCAATTGAACTGATTTTTAAAGGTTGGAGTTGACTATCTGGCCTCCACTTGGAATTGGAAATCTTAGCAAAAACCTGAAAGCATTTCCACTTTTATTTTCTTCTCTATGACCACTTCATCACAATAGATGTGGTTTTGTTTGATTTGGATGAATATTGTTCTAATAGAAAGGATTGGGAAAGATATGTATCATTAAATGGCTTTGGATGCATGGGAAAGCTGGGATAAAGCCTATTTCAACTCATTTTCAATAGATGGTTTGTACTATCTGGCCTCAATTTGTAGCCTAATATCTCAGGAAAAACCTGGAGAACCACCCCACAAAAAATGGCACCCAATGGACCAGTATTGCAGCCTGCAGAAATAATTTATATATTTTGGAAAAGGACCCCAGACACCCTATGACAGCTTTGGTATGATGGTATGAAGTGACATCATACCATCTGGTATGGTATAACAGGACATGGTATGGTATGGTGACATGGTATTGGTATGGTATGGTAACATGGTATTGGTATGAGTGGGGTATGGTATGGGTTTTCCATTCCATGGTACCATGGTATTGGTATGGAGCTCATATACCACCCCGGAATGGGTACCCCCAAGGTACCCTAAATCAAGGAATTGATGTACCTCATAGGTACCCAAAAATGGGTGACTGAAGTGGTGTGACCCGAAAGTCTGACGAGCTAAGGTGTGAAGACCCACTACGGAGTCATTCTCTGAACAAGAGTAGTCGGTCAGAGACGCGAATCGAAGACTACGTCTACCATAGATTCGATAAGTGTCAGCCTCGTCAAGTCAACCTTTTCGAGGTAACCGAATACTCCAAAACAGCACTGATTGCCTAACACAGGTATAGAGGACTGTTAGTACAGTAACTCGTACCCTGAGGGATAGGTAGATGGTGGTGAAAAGAGATATTGTATTTTTACGTTGTGACGTGTCAACTATGCACAACGTGGGAATCAATGACTAAAGATATAAGGTTTTGAGAATGAGGGGAAAGTGGAAAGTGTCGCGTACTATAAAGGGACTGAAGGAGTTAAGCAAATGAAGGTCCGTAGTATGTTACAACCAGAACCTCCAAACTCCTCTATCGCCCATCTCAA